GAGAAAGATACGCTGCATTTACCTGCTCTGTCTGATCCTCGTTATTATGGTTTCTGTGAGGCTCAAAGAGGATCACTACTTTATCCGTTTTCTCTCCTCCTGAACTCCTATCATGGGGAAAGTTTTCTATTTTAATGTTTCATTCGTTTTTTGCACTAATATGTCCTGCTTACTATATACGCGATGCTAGACTCCAAACTGACTGTTTCCCCGTACGATTAACAGATTTTATTTTGTATTTTCCCCTAAAGCAGATGTGTTTTTCTTCCTGTCAGACCCATGAAATTGCTGCCGACTAAAATAGACCTGGGCTCTATCTCAGTGGGAGCTACACTGCCCCCTGCAGGAAATCATCCCCATTGACTTTCAAGAGCGTTAAATGCCACGACTTTCTGTCGGATCAGAAGCAAAATCTGATTTGGTGGTGTCTGGGCTTAAGATTTAAGTTTTATATACCCAGATATGTTTACACCTTTCAAGTGTCCATTTTTCATATTTATCAGCTTAACTGAAAATGTATTTATTAAATCTGTAAAAAAAAATGCTGACCAGTAACAGTAGAAATATGGAGGTCTGAAATTAATTTCTAGATATCCAGAATGTTTTAAACACCAACAGAGGGTCTTCAGTCAGAGGCTTCTCCAGATCCAGTGCAGACAGACCTCTACAGGAGATCCTTCCTGCCTGCAGCATCAACACCTGTTTAAAAAAATAGCATATGAGTTACTGCAACATTTAATTTCCCTTTGGGAGTAATAAAGTATTTTTTTTTTAATGAAATTGTCCCAAGGTCACTCCAGGCAGTTGGAATTGGAAACTTGTCCCACTGGAAGGAAGGCGGTGCTGCAGGTCTGTGGAACATGGAGGAGGGGCCACGGTCTTGGCCTGTGGACCACAGGCAGTTTCCAGCCACACAAACATGGCGAGCAGAGCAATCCTATTGATGAGTTTGTGATAGAGTGGTTGGATCTCTCTCATTCATTTTAACCAGAGGAAATTGGGGGAGAACTTTGTTCTGCAGAGGTCAGCAGCTCTGAGCGGTTCTGCTTTGATCAGAGGTTCTGCGTGGCACCATCAGGTAATATCCCAATCAAACATGTTTTACCGCAGTTTATAACTTTAATCAGGGCCGACCTGTGTCAGCACCCAAAAACAGCTTGGTGTGAATAGGAAAATAAATATAGTAGCAGCGTGCGAGGACAGGTAAGTACTAATAACTCAAGCTTGATTTTAGTTAGATATCTGTTCGTCTTTTAAACATATTAAGAAGGAACTTCTTGAAGAGTCAAATGGTAAATTTGTGGACAATCCTTAAGAACCAGTTAGGAGACGTATTTCTGGCTGGTCTCAAAATTTCCCACAATGCACCTTGAAAAGCAGTGATCACCCATGGTCGCTAGGTTTAGCAGATATATCCCAGAATGCTTTGCAAGAGGTCTCCTCACTAAAAGCATATGGGAATTGTTTTGACAGCATGGGCGGGGCTGGAGTCATGTGACCAACAGGTAGTGATCATTTCTCCAAACATCGGCTCTAACTCCTCCATCACGACATATAGAGCGGGAACTTTGCTCCATTAACCTCACTCTGTTCAGATAGAAAATCGCTACAGAGCGGATGTTCCTAGGGATGTGACGCCCAAACAGAGCTATATTAGCCGGTTTATTAATAGAGTTCAGGCCCTGCTTTCACAAAAACATGATTAAGCAGAGGAGACTGCAACAGAAAGACGTGTTTGTCTGATCTACCGGCTATTTACACACTGAAACAAGAGTTTTTCACTTGCAAGGCCACAGAATGCCTGAGTGAGGGCTGTTTATAGACTAGACATACTTATTCCCATAACAAGCCAGATTCTTTTCAAGGTTTAATCATAACATGTTACTGTTAACCCAAAGTTTCTTTAATTTGTTTTGACTCTAATATTCATTACTGTGAGTAAGGGGGAACAAACTCTGTCCAGATCAGAACAGGGCTGATTACCGTTCAATAAGGGCTGCATGATAAAAAGCTCTCTCTTTGCTAAGATAAAATAAAGTGCCGACTGAGTAAAATCCATCAATCTCTGTTTATTTAACTGGAGTGAATAGTTGAATACTTTTTTTCTCAAAACAGAGGCCTTTTATTTTCTCATGCACTTCAGACACTTTCTCTTACGACCCTTGGCCATTTTCCACGGATCGCCATCAGCGTTAGTGACTGTCTGAAACCGTAGCTCACCACAGATATACGCCTGAAAGTGCGCATGTGCAGAAAAAGATAGCTAACAGGAGGAGCAGGTAGGACGGCTTTACCTAAACGTATCAGCAGGGTGATTGACAATTAGGAGGACCACTTATTTAGATGATCCACCCGGAAATAACCGACCGTCCTCTATACCTTTAACATGGCATAATTGTTCCGTCTGGTCTAAGTGCAACAAACGCCACATCATGATTTTAGGCTAGAAAGATAACACACATTCCTTTCTGTGAATTTGGATGGATTTTCCATCTTTAAAAATTATTATTCTCTTAAAAATTAACGTTTCTTCCGATAACATTTAGGTAATGTGACTGACACCGAGCTAATGATCATGCAGATCGATTTTTATCCAGTTTTACTGCATTTACTATTTATTACCAATCTTTAAAAGGTAAAAATAGGATTAATGTTAGTTTCTTATTTAAAAAAAAAGTGGTTTATTGTAGAGAACTGTGCTGCAGGCATCCCTCTGGGATACCTGTAGCTTTTAGTCGATGGTGAAGTAAAGGCCAAGGTCAGAGCTGCTGGAGATCTAATAGCTGCACTGAAAAAAAATGAAATCTGAATAAGTAATTTCTTATTAAAATAGGTGATTTTTTTCTTGAATTGAATTAAATTAGACTCTTCGTCAATAGAATAAGACAATTTACCTTTTAAATAAGAAAAAACATTTGTATTGTCTTATTTCCAGTGCATATTACCTAATTATCTTATTTTAAGATTAAAAATACCCATTCCATTGGCAAATAATCTTATTTACCTACTGAATTTATGTATAAATAAACTTAGTTGGAATTTTTTCTTAATTTCTTTTGCTGTGTGAAGGCCGACTTCCAGACGAAGTTTTCACAGCGTTGAACTTTTCCACATTCACTGATTCCACAGCTTTGCTCCAAATCCTCAGTCTAGCAGCGTGAAAAACTTTCTGAGATTTGTTTATGTCCACCTTGACCAGTCTGCCGTCATCCCATAGCATGATGCTGCCACCTCGGCTCAACATGGAGCTTCATGGTAAAGACTGAATCCTTGTGGAAATGTGCATTTATTTTTAACGAATTGCAACAAATACAATACCTATTTCCCACATCTCTGCAATGAGGTCTGAGATTTTATTTTTTTTTGCCGTTTGGGATCAGCCTGCTTTAAGGTGGAAGAAGTTCAGTGACGTGAAACTTCACAGATGGACTGCTTTCAGGATAGAAGCTCCTGCTGCTCCACAGACTACAGAGAAAAAGGAACCACCTGTAGCTCAGCGGACCGTTTACCTTTCATCAGGACATTCCCCAAAGTCCAGAGAAGCTCATGGTGAGGTTTCAACAGCCGTTGATGGTGTGGATCATCTGAATCTTCATCAATCTTTACAGAGAAGCAGCTGTTTTCCAGCAGGATCGGGACCACCTCAGCACTGGGCCAACCAGGCTGCACATGGAGGAGGTACCAGACCCAACTTTCTGCATTAAACTGGCTTCCCACCTTAGATGATGTCAAAATCATGGACTTTCAAGGACCTTCCAGGACAGCTGTCCTTGAATCCACTGACCATTTACCTTGTGTTTACACGTTTTGGATTTACAGATAAACTTTACTCAAAGGAAGTAATGTTAAAGTGTAGTATAAAGAGCTGGATGGCGCAGTCACACGTCTGAACTATCACGGCGCTCACAAGTTAAGGCTGATTTATACTCAGAAACCAGGTTATCTGCGTGTGTCGCAGTTAATGCAGATATGCCCCGCCCCCTTCTGCAGACACCTCTCCAATATTGTAGGTGACCACAGACAGGAGGCCTCTGATTGGTCAAATCTGCCTCCGCTCTACACTATGAGTGTTTCCGGTTTGGTACCTTACCGGCTTGTTTTCTTTGCATGACCGCCATTGTGGAAAACTACTTGTGAAGATGGACCAGCTAGAAAGTGAGATGCGCGAGAATGTTGAGACCCTTTTTCCACCTGGATCTCCGCTCTTTTTGGCCCTCATGTCCTTCCGTTGTCCCACAAACTTGCCCCACTTCCTCACCGCCTCTAGACCCACAGCTAGTTCCTGATTGTCCCTCTTGCGTTGTGGAATAACAAAGCGCAGACCACGCTTCAATATTGGGTATAAATCTAAAATATCTGCGACAAGCTCACTGCTACACACTGCTGCGTTCATGGGTCGTACGCACTAACCACTGCACCACCAAAGTACGGCCATCTTTACAACGATTTCGTTTCTGGGATAAATCCAACCGAAGGCGTCTGGAAACGCTGACCTCAGTGACCTCATCTACTCCATTCCAACGTGACGGATTCCCACCTCCAGTGATGAGCCGAACTGGCAGGTCCACAGAACCATTATAGTCGGATAACTGGAGTCCAATACTTTGGTCCGGTAGCGTCCAATAACCGGCTCAGTATTTGTTTCAATCTAATCATAAATGTTTTTCATGTTCACGTCGCTAATAAATGAGTTTTATACGAAGCAAATTCATTTAGAAACTAATCAGCATAGAAGTTATGAGGTCAAGAGGGGATTGAATTCACAGCATTTGTTCTCATCGTTCAGCCTCCAAAACACAGACATGTTAAGGAGGTTGGTGACCTCTAACCCCTGATGGAAACCTGAAGGTTTTGGCAGCCATGCATCCTGAATCTGTGCTGGAGGCCCCGATCCGCACGTCGGTGGATCAGAATTGGAACCAGACCTCTAAAGCTGAACTGTGGGGAATGTGAGGAAGAAGCTCTTCTTCGGGTCGGACAAAGAGAAGCAAACCAGGCTGTAGGTTCAAGGTCCGTTTAATGTTCTAGAAAAGGAAGATATGACTAAAATAAGGAGGGAGTCAAATAGAAAGAGCATCTCTCCTCATGTCCCGCCGCCGTCAACAGGAAATCAGATCGAGACGCTCTCCTTCAGCCATACGAATCCATAGAAACGGCATTTCTGGTGGTCCGGTGTGGATCAAAGGCACATCAAAGCTTTTAATCTGACTTTGCGGGGGGATTGCTGCACACGCACAGGGAACACAGACGCATGCAGGAGCCCTGAAATGAGGCCTGCCGTGTAAGGAAAGCAGAGGTGGAACAGTTTGATTCAGAGGTTGGTTTAGCCTTTTAATTTGGAGCCTGTAAAAAGGGATCAGATGATTTAAAAAATGTTACTGAAGCGATGCGATCCGAGTCAAATCAAAGGTGGAGAGGCTTCGGTTACCTATGTGTGTTTTCTTCTCTTAAATAATATATCCTGGGTTACAACCATCACCGTTTCAAAGAAAAAAAAAAAAAGGGCTTAACATTCAGTAAACCTCTGAAGGTAGCTTCCCTTATATAATCTGTCATCTTTCCTCTGCAGTTATGTATACATAAACAAGTTTAATAACATACCAATCAGTGGTTATTTCACAATTGGAAAAAAGCACAAAATGTTTACAGTCTTTTACAGGTGGATAAAAGTTTCTCTTAATTCTTGGATGAGGGCTTAGCTCCCCTCCTTCACTACTGCTCTGTAATTAGATCTTTACATACAAATATTGACAGTGATGGCTTTGCCCTCTGAAGCCGTGAAGTCTTTAAGGATCGGGGGGGAAGGTGCTGGGAAACGGCTCAGAACTGGCCTTCGCTGCAGTGGCCGTCCTGACTGCCGGCGGCCTTCTCTGCATCCTGGCCGGACAGGTCTTTGAGGAGGAGGGCGGCGCTCTTCTCGGAGAACTCGTCTCCGTCGGGCTCCAGGCCGTCGGGGCAGGGCAGCTTCAGGAGCTCCTCTCTGAGCTGAGCCGTGTGTCTCTGCAGCAGAAACAGCGTTCATTAGTGGAACGGCTGGCCTACAGTCTACAGCCTAACCTGATCCGAGGACTCAGCTTCATCACATGAGTAAGAGAGCACTTTACAGACCCATCTTTAAACCTTAAAAAACCATTTTTTCTTGATACGATACAGCTGTAGTGTTTCAGTCTGAGAGGAAATCTCCAAACAGGAAGTTACCTTCAGAGCGGCGGCGTGATGCGACATGGTGCGGCCCACCCTCTTGTCATTGCTGTACTGCTGGATGTCAGCGATCCACTCCTCGCACTGAGACATGATCTCCACCCTCTTCAGGTAGAAATGCTTGTGGATTACCTGCAGACAAGAGTTCAGAAACACCTGAACAAAAGGAGATTCCTGGGACTTTTTCCCCCTTTTTTTCTCCCTCCTAAATTTTCTGTTATTTTAATTGACGCTGTTCACACCAACGTTGAGGCAGCTGGTTGGACATGATTGTTGCTGATCTGGAAGCACTAGTTTGTGGAAAACCTCCTTGTTTCCTATCAGTCTTTTAAGATGATTTTATAAGCCAAAAAAAGACGAATTCCGCTTGTCTGTCCCGCTCACCAAGCAGGTCGACATGTGCGGAATACAGAACTATCTGCCTTCTCTGTGGAGTGGGCATAGCCACCCGGACATCTGTGGGCTCGATTTTAGTAATGTGCTTCCATCGATGGAAGCCTCAGATGGAAAGGACTATTTCCATTGAAAAGGGTTGCAGGAACCCTCAGAAAATATAAAGCAAAAAATAAAGGAAAATATGCCAAAAAACTGAATCTTATTCTTTTTCCAGTATTATAAAATATATTTTTTCTTTTTAATCATTCTTGTGATGTATCATTTATGATATTGGGACGGAAAGCTGCTTCAAATAGAGAAAGATCAGATAACTTCTTCCTGTTAAACTCTAAAGTCATTAAATCCTCCAAGAAAAAAGGAAGAGATAAATACACAAACGTCTTGCTATATTTTTACATCAACTCCTGCCTCTGTGCTCCTAGTTTGGACTTAAATATATCGAATAAGCTTCTGTCTGTTGGGTGAGGCCAGAATCAACATTAGCCCCGCCCACTGAAACCGGCTCACTTTCTCCAAGTTTTTAAGTCACCAAACTGTTGATACAGAGAAAACCACAATGCTTACCTCTTTGAAGCACGGCGACGGGTTGCGGATCTGTTCCAGCATGGCCCATTTTACTGTGGCCTGCCTGATGTTGCCGTCATACTCCCGGGAACTCTGGGTGCCGCTGGGGGTCCCGCGGGAACGCTCGTACCCAGGCTCGTTAAAGTAGGGCTCAGCCACTAAGATGAGGGACTGCACAGAAACTAGCACCTGGAAGAAGCCAGAGAAGAGGCGGGGTTAACAGGCAGGAGGGAAAAAAGAGGCAGGGTGAACAGGGCGGAGTGAAAAAAAAAGAGGATGGGTTAACATGTCAGGGTCAAATAAGAGGTGGGTGTAGCACAACGGGGTCGAAAAAGAGGCGGGGTTAACATGGCGAGGATAAACCAGTACGGTAAATAAAGAGGCGGGGTTAATATGTCTGTGTAAAAAAAAAAGAGCTTTCAGAAAAAAACTTTTCCAAAGGGACTTTATGGTACCAACATTCTCCTGATGTCCTTAGAGGACCTTTCCTGCATTATTTAACCTGTTTCGCTAACAGCCTGTCTCCATGGAGTCATTACTCTGTTTGCCACAAGCCAAAGATGAATTTGAAGGTCAGCCTGCTGGCCTCAGCCCAACTAGGACAAACATAAAGAGGCTCCCTGAAGCAGACAGCAGGATATGTCCGCTAAGAGCAGGCAGACGTTCCAAGCTGCCCTCATTTCCATTATTGATGCACTGAATGCTAATTGCAACAATAAGCATTCAGCGGATCTAAGTCTCTCTGCAAATGAGTGAAGTGTAAAGAAACAAAGAGAGGAGTGATTGGCTACCCTGGTGCACGAATCGATTCCTGTACTGGAATAATATTATTCAAGGTTTCCGTGCTATCCCTTTTCTTTCAGTCACTGAGCAAACCAGTTTGCCTTTGGCAGCCTCTTTGGTTTCCTTTTACTGTTGCCCCCTGGACTATAATGGGAGTCTTCCTCACAACTTACAACCAGTGGAAAGAAAAACCACCCAGGTTACCCTCGAGTCATTTTACTGGGTTGGAATATTCTTCCACTCTGCAGATTCTGTTAGTTCAATCTCTAACGTTCTGCTCTCTCTGCTTTTTCTCATAGTAGCTTCATCTGGTCTGTTCCTGTTTGGCTGTGACTCCATCCTGCAGAGAAATATCAGCTGTGCTGCTGCCATCAACACCTTTGTTTCTAGATGTTGGACATCGGTCTGTTTTCCTGTGTAGTCCTGTTTCTCTGACTGTGTCTAACTGGATGTGCTCTCTTTCATCCTCTGACAAAGGAGCTGGCTCGGAGCTCGTCTGCCTGGCTGTGTGTTTCCCGGACGGGGCCGCCTTTTACAGCTGCCTTTTCTATCTCTACTTCTGTTTCCTTGAACCCCAGTGGGCCTCAGCAGATGGCCGCTCACAATGAGCCTGGTTCTAATGGAGGTTTCTTCCTGTTAAACGGGAGTTTTTCCTCTCCACTGTCGCTACAAGCATGCTTAGTGTGAGGGATTGCCTTAAAGTCAATGAATCGATGCAATCAACTGGTTTTCCTTAGATAGAAAACTTTGAATCAGTCTGACCGTATGATCTTGTGTACTGTAAAGTGCCTTGAGGTGACGTGTTGTGAATTGATGCTATAGAAATAAACTGTATTTAATTTGATATTTCTGGAATCATATTCCCTGTTGGAATATTCCCATGTTTTTAAATCCATGGTCTTTAGTTGGAAAAGCTTTTCTCGTCATTAAACGATAAAAAGCTGATGCAAGTTTGATTTCAAAGTTGATGAGAAGTTCCAAGCAAAGAAAAATTAACACGAATTAAAAACAATGCATTTTTAATTTTAATTTCTGTGCAAAAGTTTATAGTTTTCATATTTAATTTAACATTTTTTTTTTTTTACGGTTTTGCCTTCATCGCAGACTAACAGGTAAATAGTATCACAAAGAGAAACAGGGAAAAAAACAAAAACAAAATTTATCACAAATAGGTCTAATCTGACAGACGAGAGGAGCACTGTAAAGAGTATAGCACATATCTTATCTGGGCTGTACTGTAGAAGAGGATATTTTAGATTAAAAAAAAGCCATAATAATCATAATTGTAGTAATAACAATTAAACATGGTTATAGTAATGTATGAGTCCTAAGCAAGACAATTTTAACTTTTAACAACTATATTTTATTTTTTGCGCTTTTTCCTATTCTATTTTGATATTGTAGTTTTCTGATATTTTTTCCTTTAATTCAAGTTTGTGACTTTTTTTTCAAAGTTGTTTTTCCAGAATAGATTCTCTGTTTTTTCAGATTTTATTTCTCATGTTTTTTGAAGTAGAGAACAACAGATGTCCAGTTCGGTGTATAGACAATTTCCTGATTCACATATTTTATAAAACACCTGAACTGACTGCTATTTTTCTTTCTTTTTTCTGTCTTAATGTTGGCAGTGGGCTTTATGCAGCCCTGAAAGGCTTTAAACCTGGGTTTGAATGGAGACTAAGCTATTTTAAAGCACATATCAAGGAGCTCATTTAGAGCCTGGATCCATATTTATTATTGATTCTGTTCATGGTCGCACACGACACATGTGCTCCTTAGTTCCCAGTATCGAATCAGACCAATGGTCCTTTGCTGCATGTCTCTCCCCCTCTCTTATACCCCCTTTCCTGACAGCCTTCTGTGAAAAAAACGAGCCACTAGTTCTGTAAAAACTCAAAAAGTAGTTAGCAGCAACAACCCAGAGTGACAGCAGCATTGACTAATTTGTATCATGTGCAGCCTGATCCCGGAAACTCTGGATGGCTTTACCGTACAAACAGGAGAAGCGGCGCAAGTGAAGTTAGGATTAGCCAGCAGGTGGGTCTGGATCCGGACCACGGTCCGTTGATCCGTGACCTCTGATCCAAGAGATTCTGCCTCTGATCAATCCTCACTGATAGCTTCTATGATGGAGTTCTGTCTCACCTGTAAAAAGCTTGAGGTCTGTGGGTTCCACTTCTCTTCTGGTCTACCATGCCAGGTGTTGAGGATGCTTAGACACACCTGCAGAGGAGTTTAGAAGAACAAAACAATGACGGTTAAACTATTCTGCCATTTTGTAGAATCTATTAGTTCAATCTCTAACTTTCTGCTCTCTCTGCTTTTTCTCATAGTAGCTTCATCTGGTCTGTTCCTGTTTGGCTGTGACTCCATCGTGGAGAGAAATATCAGCTGTGCTGCTGCCATTAACACCTTTTTTTATTGATCGGCCTGTTTTTCAGTGTTTAGTCCTGTTTCTCTCCTATAGCTATGGGCTCAGCTTCTACTGGGACTAACTGCATCTTCTCTCTTTCATCCTCTGACATGAAACTGGCTCAGAGCTAATCTGATTAACTGTTTCTTTCCCAGACAGTGCCTCCCGTGGAGCTAGTTTACTGTTAGCTTCTTTAACATAGAAATTTTAATAGATCAGGGCTTCTATGTTCATTTTCTACGTCTGTTTCTGTCTCCTTGAGTCCCAGTCAGCTTCAGCAGAGCTCACACTGAGCCTGGTTCTGCTGGAGGTTTCTTCCTGTTCAAAGGGAGTTTTCCTCTCCACTATCGCTGCATGCATGCATGCTGGGAATGCCGAGTCAATCCTTCAATGCCATTGAATATTCATCCAGGAGGAGTAAATCTTTCAAACTGAATGACTGCAAATATTCATTGAGTTTAGGGCAGGTCTTCCCAAACTAGGGTCTGGGATCCCTAGGAGGTCATGAGACACCAAGTGGGGGTCGTTAAATTGTTTTCACAATCCATTCTTCAGATGCCTAATACTGTTCTCTTTTTTCCAATGAGCATCTATAATATTTGTGGTTGTTTAAAACAAAAATAAAACAGTTAAAATCTTTCATCTTTCTGATAAAATCAGTTTTGTCAAAACACAGAATGTATCAGTGCAAATGATTTGATCTGGAGTCCTTAAGCATAATTGTTAAACCCTTTATTTAAAGGAACCAAGGCAGAAAACCAGTGAATGCTCTCCGCCGTTTAAAGCTCTACTAATTATTGGGAACCATCCATGCCCCTCTCAGCCTAGTCTCTCTAAAGCTCAAATAACATCCAGTGATTGTTTTTTGTAATAGCTAACATGCTAATGAGCAGATTGGATCATTTCATTCGATCAGGATTCCTCCTCCACAGTGTCATATAAAGCCCAGTAGGAGCCACGCAGTAGGACTCACCTTGCCATCGTTGTAGAGGTTTGGATTGAAACGCACGCTGTGTCCCCCCGTCGTCTCCAGATTGACCAGCGGAGGGGAGTTGGGATAATCCTGGGGAAAATACACGTCGAATTCGAAGCAGCCGTTGGCGTACGGGGTGTCGGACGGGCCTGTGATCAGAACCTGTGAACACACAGCACAGATCAACATTGAACATAATTAGACGACACGGCTCCCAGAGAGTAATCTATGTGATGCGGATCAACGCTGGCGCCTCATTGGCTGAAATGCTTCTATAAAAATACCTCAACTTCTTTAAAGACGAGAAGTGCACCTAAAACAGGAGTTCCATCTTAATCGTCAACTTCATCATGAGCAGCGAAATGTCCAGGCTCTACTGAACACATTAAGCCAACAAATCAGTGCTAGCCACTGACGTTAGCCTAGTGCTGCAGCAGACGCTTCATTAATGGCTCCCTATCACACAATCAATTTATTTATTTTCAGCCTTTTATTGTCATTACACTCTCACAAGCACACAAAACGAAATTCACTCTCTGTGTTTAACCCATCCTCTTAGAGAGCAGTGGGCTGCCATTTTCGGCGCCCTGGGAGCATTCCTCAACATTTTACTCTACTTGGCTTAATTGCTTTCGGGCCGCTGGGCGTACCGGCTGAGGGGTGGGCAGTGCTATCAAACCTTGAACAAAGTTTTCCCTATTGTCTGATGGGTCCCTGATAAGTCTGGGTTTTCCTGGGGGTGGTTGATCATCCTTGGACTCGCTGTCGGAATCTGAGCCGCTTCCTACTGACCAGACAGACATCATCATCGGTCTCTCCCTCTCCGCCCGAATCGCCATCATCAGTATTCTGAAGCATGTCTAAAGCCTGTTTCGCTGTTAGATTTGTTATGAAAGCCATTTTTCTACATTAGCCAGAGAGTTCCCAAGTTTCTAAGTAGATTGTTGGTTGCTAGGCAACAGTACCAATCTTCGTGTGGTCACTGCGCGGTATCGGCTGTTGATCAAGTCCCAGTGCTGTATCTGGTGTTTGTCACAACGCGCTATTATCCAAGTCATCTTGAAAACATTCTTCTTCCAAATGTTGGCTACATATTACGGGTTTTTTCTCAGGCCAGAAGTTCAATGGCAAATCCTCCCTCTTCAAGCTGGCAATCCAACGACGAACTGTGGAGGATCAGGAATCGGAAAGGTGAAATAACTCTTTTTTTTTCCCACTTTTACTCGATGTATTCCAACATCCAGCTGCCATGCACGTGGGGCATTGTCAGTTTCACTATAGCTCTGGTGAATTTCAATGGTGAAGTCCTCTGGAAATCTTCAATAATTGTTGTTGATTGCAGATGTGTTTAGTAGTTCCCATTGATTCTGCTTGTAAAGCGGGGATAATGGCGCTAGGTTTACCGCACCGTGACGTCACTGCCGGAAGATGTCAGGAGTGAGGTGTTGAACGTATTAGTTTTCAGTATAAATAATGACTCCTTGATTTTTCCTTGCTGACCGGACTTTTCCTTTAAAGAAGGCTGACCAGGTCAGCCGTGCTTCTCTCAATCACACACATTCTCAGAGGTAAGCTGGAGTTCAGCGTCTTCTCCAAGGACGCTGGGATGGAAATGAGTCAGCAGCCTGATGGATCACAGCATCCAGACACAGTTCAGCTCCTCCTGCCTCCAAACTATAAATCAAACCTATCCGATAACAACGCTCTGCTTTAACAGGAAGCGGTTCTTCTCAGGCCCGTCCAGCAGGCTGCTACCCACAGCCCTCTGCAAACATCGCAGCATTTTAGTTTCTATTTTGATTCTTTACCAACTGAGACATTAAGGATGGAAAGTCGGCCATTAATCAGAGCATGAGCTAACCAATGAGAGCACGCCTTTCACCTCACCGCCCCGTACAGGCGACACGTTACCTTCATGATGTCGAGCCTCTCCTCGTCGCAGCGGACAAAGACGCTGGAAGAGGACGACAGAGGGAGAGACGTGGACAGGGTGACGGCCTCCTGGGCCAGGCGGCGGGACCTTGCTGCGCTGTTTGTATCACTGGCGTTCTTCACCTGAGACATGTAGTGGTAGTTGACCTTGAACATCAGCTTCCCTTCTTCATCTTCTGAAACCATTTCAAAGGTGTCTGCGTGGAGAGGAAATCAGAGGTTAGGAGGATGTGGCTCATTCTGCTTAGGAGCAACAGATGAACAGAGTTCAGGTGTCCTTCATGACACAACACTTCTAGAAGGAACCTCATCATTTGGAAAAGAACCAGACTGCAACACAATGGTGGAGGTGGATATCCAGCGTTTCCATAGCTACAGTAGCTTTGTACGACACGGCGTAGCACTGTATCTGAGGAGCTGCGTCACAATGAACTAGTGGGAGGGGTATGAAGTTAAACACCTAAGCAGTCTCAGAATCAGCCTTGGCAAAATAAAAAAAATAAAGTATTGCATGCTTGATGCAGAGAAAAAAAATATGCATGATAAGAAGGAATGTAAAGAATCTTACTAGGATTTATTGATCATTCGTAGTTTATTAGATTAAAATTTATTCTATCCTATTTACTGATTACAGATTTTTTTCCCCTTCTACTTTGAGAATAAACTTGTAACATTACAAGAATAAAGTGGAAACGACAATAGTCATAAAATTACGAGAATAAAGTCGTACAATTATGAGAATAAAGTCGTAACATTATGAAAATAAAGTCGAAACGAGAATAGTCGTAAAATTACGAGAATAAAGTCGAAACGAGAATAGTCGTAAAATTACGAGAATAAAGTCAAAACGAGAATAGTCGTAAAATTACGAGAATAAAGTCGAAACGAGAATAGTCGTAAAATTACGAGAATAAAGTCATAAAATTACGAGAACAAAGACGTAACATTACGAGAATAAAGTCGGAAAATTACGAGAATAAAGTCATAAAATTACGAGAACAAAGACGTAACATTACGAGAATAAAGTCGGAAAATTATGAGAATAAAGTCGTAAAATTACGAGAATAAAGTCGAAACGAGAATAGTCGTAAAATTACGAGAATAAAGTCAAAACGAGAATAGTCGTAAAATTACGAGAATAAAGTCAAAACGAGAATAGTCGTAAAATTACGAGAATAAAGTCATAAAATTACGAGAACAAAGACGTAACATTACGAGAATAAAGTCGGAAAATTACGAGAATAAAGTCATAAAATTACGAGAACAAAGACGTAACATTACGAGAATAAAGTCGGAAAATTACGAGAATAAAGTCATAAAATTATGAGAATAACGTAGGAAAATCACGAGAATAAAGTCGTAAAATTACAAGAATAGTCATTAAATTAAGATAATAAAGACCTAAAATTACAAGAAACAAGTTGTATTTCATGACAAATCTTACAAGAAGCACTTTCTTCCCTAAAATGAGGAATGTTGAGCATCATGTGAAGTTATCCTGGCTCTGGTTTGACAAATAAGGAAATCTTTTAGCACCAGCTTCAAATTGGGCAGGATGTCAAAGTGAACTCAGGTTGCTGGTCGGAGCTCGAAGCTTTCTTTCGAAACGGTTTGTTATATGATGACTTTATTCTCGTAATGTTACGACTCGATTCTCATGTTACAACTCTAAGTAAAAAAAAAAAAAACTCTAGCCTGGCCCTAATACTCCGTCATAACTGATGATGTCTAATTAGAGGGAATGTCTCAGTGTTGTAATGACAGCGCAGTCCTCTAGAGGGCTCTGCAGTTCAATCAACAGAGCTTCACTGTCATTTTCAATAAATGTGGCCGATAATCGCCTACATTCACCTGCAGGATACTGCTGTATAACCTCTAATTTATCACCTTTCTTAGACATCATCCATTAGGCTGATAAACCAGAGCTTATCCTGCAGACACTGAAATATCTACATAAACCGAGTTCAGGTGAGGAGGAATTGACCACACAATGAGAAGCGTGGTTAAAAAAAAAATCACAGTCAATGCATGGGAAACACTGTATACCAGATCTCTGGCATAAATAGAACCTGATGCTGATTTACAGCAGTTTAAGTAATTTCTAGAAACAACAGGCATTAATTAAGACAAGCAGAGATGTTTAAACCCACCAAACTGTAGTTTCTTCATGGCAGCGACGTATTTCTCCTCTAAGGAGCGGAGCACAGACAGCGGCTTTGGCCTGCTTGACGTCTTCTTTGAAGACTCCACCAGCTTCCTCTCTGATGGAGAGAAAGGGGAAATTAAAGATCAGCAATGAGAAAAAGATCAGCAATGAGAAAAAGATCAGCAATGAGAAAAATCTCAGCTGACAATGAATTCTTTACATAGTTTAGGCTCCTAAAAGGTTTTTCTCTGATATGAAAATGTTTTCCAGTCTGATTTTAATATGTATTTTTATAATACAGAATAGCATAGAAAATCCCTTTACTGTCCCACAATGGAGAAATTCTGGTCACACAAATTTGGACGTTAGAAAAATGTATAAGAATAATATAAAAGTGAAGAGTTAAAAAATAAAAAATATAATACTGTACTGTAAAGTGTTTTAACAATATAAATATAAACAATATAACATTTTTGCACAGCAATATAACATTGCTGTGCAACTGGAGAATAATACCCAATATACAGCTATGGACATTTTTACAGTAATGGATATTTAGCAGCAACATCAGAGATGTGCAAAACTGACAGTGTATATATAGATAATATATCTTTCATAGTATCATGTTTAATGAACTCCACGTTTTGGTGGAAAATGATATAAAAGCAGCAATAATTTAGATACTTTTCTTACAAGGTTGGAGAGTTAAAATAAAAATGTATTTATTGTCCTTCAGGTTCAGGAAGTATTAAAAAATACTTCGGGGTGATAAATATTTTGATTTAAATCATTTAAAGATTAGAACCTTAAAGCAAAGAAGAAAACTTTCACCATATAACATTTATCCCCTAATTTATTCCAACATGATCTCTGTAGTTGTGCTGCTAAAGGCTCAGAATGCCGGAGGACAAGGGGACCACTTTTACATTCTACTTCTATTCTCCAATTCTAAATTATTTGCAACATTTTTGATCTCTCAATTTTTATTCTTGTAATAGTAGCTTAATCTGATGTGTTAAAACGCCTCCAGATGACATGTTGGGAAACATAAACTGAATCAGTAATGAATCTGAAATTTAGAATCAGAGTCAAAGGATCAAAGGTTGATAAAGAAAAACAATAAAAACTGAAACCGATTTTTCAAAGATAAAGGAAAGATTTTGTTTATACTGGGATAAATGTGGGAAAGGAAACTGCATTTTAATGGTTTTAAAAAGGGACTTTATGTATTTTAGGATAACTTAAAGGGCTGAGAGCAAATGATTTAAACAGATGTATTCCAGCAGTTAAAGCTGCATTTCTTCCAGATATGGTTTGGAAACAAGACAAAGAGGCATGATGTGTCCCCAGAATCTATTAAAGGTCAACAGTAGGAGAAAAAAAAAGCAAAACAGATTAATTATTCTAATTTAAACAGTTAGAATAAAAACGGATTATAAGCCAAACTACATCATTAAACAATAGTCTCCTGCTGGTTGGTTGGGGCGCTTTGCCAGTGGCCGTCTGTTAATAGAGGGGTCATAAATCTGTCACGTCTCAAACGCTGCCAGCTCCTCTCTGATTAATCATGAGGGACACGGCGGGACTTATCACGGAATGTTCCACATTAAGACCTCTGACAATGATCTCAGGCTGTCTCCTCCATCTCACACACCCCTCCATTACATCTAATGGGCTGGTTTCCACCCCAGTGATCGGTCACAGGACATTCTGTGGGAGCAGAGGATTAATACTGGGAGGTCATGTGACAGGAGAGATTTTTTTGGGGGGTGGGGGGGCTGACTAATGACTGGGATGAAGATCCATCCAGAGGACGGGTTTTAACACATTCCTTGTTTTCCCGTTGGGCTGACAGAGTTCAGGTCCAAACCCTTAGCTCTAAAGCTCAGAACGGTTTCCATGACGGCAGATCCCTGCTCAGTTCCTTCTGTGTATACGCACCCTGATTGGCCTGCCGCAGGCTCGTCGTTGCTGCATGGACGATCTCCGCCGTCCTCTGGATGTCGGGAACCAGCAGGGTCAAACCCTCAGGTTCTGGGTCTGACCCCTCGGGTTTCACCACACCTTTGCTCTTATCCTTTTTTGACCTGGAACGCAGAAACACAGTCATGGAACCAGGAGCGCTTTCTCATCACAGCCTTTAGTTGGGGGATCATCACTCACTAGAAGGTTTTTAGCTGAGTTCAGACTCTCAGAGCATACTTCAGAGCAGGATGGATTTACCCTGCGTCCAGAATTTACTCGAAACGAAGTCATTTAGAATGTTTTTAGAGCATAAACAGTAGTGTATAGGATTTCCTGAAAGCGCGTTCATGAGCATACGGAAGCCGGCAGACCAAACCAGCGCATTCAGCTCGGCAAAGAACTCATGCTCTTCCTCAACACTGAAGTCCTCAGACATTTTTCTTTCGTTGTTTCTTTCTTTGCACAGGTAAACAGCACATTTCTTCTTCTACGCTTGCATTATCGGCAGAGCAGACGCTGAATGCGCACTTTCATCTGGTTTGGTCTGCCGCGGTTTCCGTAGACTCGTGAACTCGCAGGCTTGCGCTTTGAGGAAATCCTATACACTACTGTTTATGCTCTAAAAACATTCTAAATGACTTCGTTTCGAGTAAATTCTGGATGCTACCCACTCAGGACACTTGGAATACATTGGACGAGCAGTATGGAGGAATATTGACACGTTTTTTGTTGACTTTTATGGACCTTTCTGTCTCAGGCGCCATAGACCTCCATTATTTGAATGTCAACAGACAGCAAGAAGCCTCCCAGATCTCCAGATGCATTTGAGATATCAAAAAAGTACTCCAGAGTGTTGTTCAGCATGGGGGTGAGTAGAAAGTGAAGGCTAATCAATTTTTGGGTGTACTATTCCTTTAAGCTTAAAGAGTAGGCTTAAAACTTTCCTTTTTAATAAAGCTTACAGTTAAGAGGGGCTCAGGTTATCCTGAGCTATCTCTATAGTTATGCTGCTATAGGCTTAGACTGCTGGAGGACATAGGGACCCCTTTTTCATCATTCTGCTTCATTCTATATTCTCCCATTCTGCAGAATCTGTGAGTTCTATTTCGTTCTGCTCTCTCTGCTTTTTCTCATAGTAGCTTCATCTGGTCTGTTCCTGTTTGGCTGTGACTCCATCCTGGAGAGAAACATCTGCTTAAAGTGTTGAGATGAAGTGTTGAGCTTAAGCCACCGCGGGTCTGATTCTGGCTTCATTTCTAAGGTCAGTGTTTCCATCCCCTTCAGTCAGCTTTCAGCCACCATCTCTATGGGGGAAAGTGATGATGCAGCCGCCTGACATGTTATGATGAAGGAAACCAAAGATTCTCCTGTGATCTAAATTGTAAATCTTCTCAATGAGACGCTCTGGGAATCATTGCTGCTATTAGACAATTAAAGTTCAGCTGATGCCCTGATCTGGTTGGATGTCGTCTCTGTGAACCAGTGGCTGCTCTTCTTCCTCATCAAATGAACAAAGCTAACTGAGGGCTTCAAATACATCAATACTGAAAACAACACTTGGAAAAAAGCAGCATGATAAGAGGCGCTGCTTGCTCCGGGCCACTAGGGCGAGACAGTCCTCTCCAAACCCCTTCAGGAGCTCTGTAGCCACGCTGGACGCCGTACCTGAGGCGGTTGGTGTACGTGTCTACACAGGTCTTCATCTTGGCCAGCAGCAGGCCGACAGAAGTCTGCCCCTCCGAATGCTCTTCGTCGTCTTCCTCCTCGTCTCGTCCGTGGTCCCCAGACAATGGCAGCAGCAGTGGAACCAACGCGGTGTAGGTGGAGATGGCCCTGAGCAGCTCCAGCAGCGCTCTGTACAGCGGAACATGGCGGGCCATATCCAGAACTGGACAGAGAGAGAGACAGAGAGAGAGAGAGAGTGAGTCAAAGCCATGCCACAAGGCGGACTCTCACTTCTCAAAAGTGAAGTCAACTTCACTCCGTTCTTTAGAGAGCTACGGCTTCCTACGTAGGCCCCTTCAAACACCAACAGGACCTGGAAAAACTGGTTTACCTGAAAATCCTCTGCTGTGTTTTAAACAAGGTGTAAGTAGAAAATACTATTCTATTAAAAGAAACAATAAAAACAGCATCAGGTAACGACATCTTTAGACATCTTTAGACATCTTTAGGCTTGAACTGATTAATTCTGGGTGAGTTGTGGCGTTTTAAAACCATGTTTCTGGATCCAGATGGGAGCTCTGCTGTTTAAGGCTACGTTCACACAGCAGCCTGAAGGGACCCAAATCTGACTCTTTTGCCCATACACTGAAAAAAAATAATTGAAATCTAGATAAGTCATTATTTCTTAAAAAAAGTGATTTTTTTATTACTTGAATTGAGGAGGTAAGTGAGACACTTAGCCAATGGAACAAGACAATTTACATTTAAAATAAGAAAATAAAACAATTTAATTGACTTTTTTCAAGTGTATATGATCTAATTACCTCGTTTTAAGAGTAAAAATCATTTCATTGGCAATTAATCCTATTTATCTACTCAAATTAGGGTTAAATACACTTAAATTAAGAAATGTTGACTTATTTCTACATTCTTTTAGCCCAAATGCGACCTGGATCTGACTTTTCATGGCAGTCTGAACAACACAGATCGACTTTTTCCAATGCAACCCAGGACACTTGGCTGTGTGGTCCGGAATCCGAAATAGAATCTGATCTTTTTAAATGCGACCTGTGTCTGAACGGCCAGGTTACATTCATTATCATACATTACATTACATTCATCCGCCATTAATACCCAACAAAGGTCACTATTCTGCATCTTGCTACACAGAAGTGGAAAGAAAAACAACAACAATGGCGGATGATGATCCAGAGAGTATTATTTGTTTAACCATATTGAAAAGATTGTGGGTAAGATCGCTAGATGTGCTCTGGCACTACCATCCATGTTTACTTCCGTAAAAACTTAGTGTGACGGACTGCCATCAAGTCAATGAGTCGATGCAATCAGCTGGTTTTCCTTAGATAGTAAACTATGAATAAATCTGGCTGTATGATGTAAAGTACCTTGAGATGACGTGTTGTGAATTGGTGCTATAGAAATAAACTGAACTGAATATAAATAATCATCATCCCCACCACTAGGCAAACACCAACACACACATTTGGGAGGATGTCTGATATTGGTGTCATTGCAGATTACCAATATTATCCTTAATGAAAAACCAGCCACGCTGTTCACGTTTGGACAAAGCACGGGGGAAAGGACCTGCAGACGGAGAGAGGACCGCGCAGTGAGGACCGCGCAGTGTGTTGGAGAGAGAGAGAGCGACAGCGGCCCGGCGTGTTGGAGAGAGAGAGAGCGGCCCGGCGTGTTGGAGAGAGAGAGAGCGGCCCGGCGTGTTGGAGAGAGAGAGAGCGGCCCGGCGTGTTGGAGAGAGAGCGACAGCGGCCCGGCGTGTTGGAGAGAGAGAGAGCGGCCCGGCGTGTTGGAGAGAGGGAGAGCGGCCCGGCGTGTTGGAGAGAGAGAGAGAGCGGCCCGGCGTGTTGGAGAGAGAGAGAGCGGCCCGGCGTGTTGGAGAGAGAGAGAGAGCGGCCCGGCGTGTTGGAGAGAGAGAGAGAGAGAGAGCGGCCCGGCGTGTTGGAGAGAGAGAGAGAGAGAGAGCGGCCCGGCGTGTTGGAGAGAGAGAGAGCGGCCCGGCGTGTTGGAGAGAGAGAGAGAGCGGCCCGGCGTGTTGGAGAGAGAGAGAGAGCGGCCCGGCGTGTTGGAGAGAGAGAGAGGGAGAGCGGCCCGGCGTGTTGGAGAGAGAGAGAGGGAGAGCGGCCCGGCGTGTTGGAGAGAGAGAGAGAGAGAGCGGCCCGGCGTGTTGGAGAGAGAGAGAGCGACAGCGGCCCGGCGTGTTGGAGAGAGAGAGAGAGAGAGCGGCCCGGCGTGTTGGAGAGAGGGAGAGCGGCCCGGCGTGTTGGAGAGAGAGGGAGAGCGGCCCGCGTGTTGGAGAGAGAGGGAGAGCGGCCCGGCGTGTTGGAGAGAGAGGGAGAGCGGCCCGGCGTGTTGGAGAGAGAGAGAGAGAGAGCGGGCCGGCGTGTTGGAGAGAGAGGGAGAGCGGCCCGGCGTGTTGGAGAGAGAGAGAGAGAGAGCGGCCCGGCGTGTTGGAGAGAGAGGGAGAGCGGGCCCGGCGTGTTGGAGAGAGAGGGAGAGCGGCCCGGCGTGTTGGAGAGAGAGAGAGAGAGAGCGGGCCGGCGTGTTGGAGAGAGAGGGAGAGCGGCCCGGCGTGTTGGAGAGAGAGGGAGAGCGGCCCGGCGTGTTGGAGAGAGAGGGAGAGCGGCCCGGCGTGTTGGAGAGAGAGGGAGAGCGGCCCGGCGTGTTGGAGAGAGGGAGAGCGGCCCGGCGTGTTTGGAGAGAGAGAGAGAGAGAGCGGCCCGGCGTGTTGGAGAGAGAGGGAGAGCGGCCCGGCGTGTTGGAGAGAGAGAGAGAGGGAGAGCGGCCCAGCGTGTTGGAGAGAGAGAGAGAGGGAGAGCGGCCCGGCGTGTTGGAGAGAGAGAGAGAGCGGCCCGGCGTGTTGGAGAGAGAGAGAGAGGGAGCGGGCCGGCGTGTTGGAGAGAGAGAGAGAGAGAGCGGGCCGGCGTGTTGGAGAGAGAGGGAGAGCGGCCCGGCGTGTTGGAGAGAGAGGGAGAGCGGCCCGGCGTGTTGGAGAGAGAGAGAGAGAGAGCGGGCCGGCGTGTTGGAGAGAGAGAGAGAGAGAGCGGGCCGGCGTGTTGGAGAGAGAGGGAGAGCGGCCCGGCGTGTTGGAGAGAGAGGGAGAGCGGCCCGGCGTGTTGGAGAGAGAGAGAGAGGGAGAGCGGCCCAGCGTGTTGGAGAGAGAGAGAGAGGGAGAGCGGCCCGGCGTGTTGGAGAGAGAGAGAGAGAGAGCGGGCCGGCGTGTTGGAGAGAGAGGGAGAGCGGCCCGGCGTGTTGGAGAGAGAGGGAGAGCGGCCCGGCGTGTTGGAGAGAGAGAGAGAGGGAGAGCGGCCCCGGCGTGTTGGAGAGAGAGAGAGAGGGAGAGCGGCCCGGCGTGTTGGAGAGAGAGAGAGAGCGGCCCGGCGTGTTGGAGAGAGAGAGAGCGACAGCGGCCCGGCGTGTTGGAGAGAGAGAGGAGCGGCCCGGCGTGTTGGAGAGAGAGAGAGGCGGCCCGGCGTGTTGGAGAGAGGGAGAGCGGCCCGGCGTGTTGGAGAGAGGGAGAGCGGCCCGGCGTGTTGGAGAGAGGGGAGAGCGGCCCGGCGTGTTGGAGAGAGAGAGAGAGAGAGCGGCCCGGCGTGTTGGAGAGAGAGAGAGAGAGCGGCCCGGCGTGTTGGAGAGAGAGAGGGAGAGCGGCCCGGCGTGTTGGAGAGAGAGAGAGAGAGAGCGGCCCGGCGTGTTGGAGAGAGTGAGAGAGAGGAGCAGCCCCGTCCGGTTGGAGAAGAGAGAGAGTGAGAAGCGGCCCCGCGTGTTGGAGAGAGAAGAGCGACGAGCGCTCGGCGGTGTATGAAGAGAGTAGAAGAGATACGGATGCCGCGGTTGGTAGAGAGAGAGATAGAGAGCGGTCCTGGCGAGTTGGAGTAGAGAGTGGAGACGCGGTCCACCGGCGGGTGGAAGAGAGAGGGAGAGCGTCCCGGCGTGTTGGAGAGAATAGAGAGAGGATAGCGGCCCGGCGTTGTTGAGTGAAGAGAGAGGGAGAGCCGGCCCCGTGTTGGAGAGAGAAAGAGTAAGCGACCCACGGCGTGTTGGAGAGAGAGAGAGAGCTACAGCGTCCCGCGTGTTGGATAGAGAGAAGCGTCCCAAGGCGTGATTGGAGATGAGAGAGAGCCCCGGCGTGTTAAGAGGGAGAGCGCCACGGCGTGTTGAGAGAGTGAATGCGGCCCGGCGGTTGGAGAGAGGGAGAGGCGGCCGGGGCGTGTTGAGAGAGGAGAGATGAGAGAGCGGCACCCGCGTGTTGATAGAGAGATAGAGAGCGTCCGCCCGGACGTGTTGGGAGAGAAGAGATTGAACGCCCCCGGCGTGTTGGAGAGAGAGAGAGAGTAAGCGGACCCCGTGTTGAGAGAGAGAGAGAGAGAGCGCCCGGCGAGTTTGGGAGAGAGAGAGAGGAGAGAGAGCGCCTCGGCGTGTTTGGAGAGAGAGAGATGCGACAGCGGCCCAACTGCGGTTGGAGAGAGAGATAGCGCCCGGCGTTTGAGAAGAGAGAACGGCGCCGTCGTTTTGGAGAGAGGGAGACGACACGTCCCGGCGTGTAGAGTAGAGAGATAGAGCGGGCCCCGTGTTGGAGAGAGAGAGACGAGCAAGCGAGGCCCTGGCGTGATGGAAGTAGAGGATAGAGCGTAGCCCGCGATGTTGGAGAGAGGGAGACGGCCCGCTTGTTGGAGAGAGTGAAGCGGCCCGGCGAGTGTTGAAGAGAGAGAGAGAGAAGCGCCCGTCAGTTTTAGAGAGAGAGAAGAGCGCCCCGTTGTTGGAGAGAAGGAGAGCGGCCACGCGTGTTGGATGAGTAGAGGAGGAAGCTGTCCCTGCGATGTTTGGAGAGAGAGTGAGACGGCCTGGCGTGGATGGAGAGAGAGCGGAGACGCCAGTCGTGTTGGAGTATGAGAGGGAAGCGTCCCGTCGTTTAGGATGAGAGAGGGAGGAGCGGCCTCGAGCGTGATTAGGAAGGAGAAGAGGGTAGAGGCTGGCCCAGCTTGTTGGAGAGAGAGAGGAGAGCGCCCGGCGTGTGGAGAGGAGAGAAAGAGCGGCCCGTGTTGAGAAGAGAGAGAGCGCCCGTCGTTGGAAGAGAGAGAGAGAGTAGAGCCCCGGTCGTGTTGGAGAGATAGAAGGGGAGTCCGGCCCGCGTTATAGGAGAGAGAGGAGAGCGCCCGCGTGGTTGGAAGAGAGAGAGAGGGA